CGTCGAAGACTTGTATCTCATAAGTGGTTTCATTGATTTTGGCGAAACCATAGTTGATATGAGTACACAAATTATATTCAATATTATCAATGTCAAAACGATCTATTTTATGGTAAAATGCCCAGCTCCCGAAATAACATACAACTCGGTGAGGATTTTTAGTATAATCGTTATGATCTGAATATTAATAAAGAAAATTAATTAATTAATTAATTAAATTATTTAGCACTTTGTCATAAAAGTGATATACCTCTGGAGGCTCGGGTCCCCACTTGAACGGGACTGGAGGTGATCCCCAACACTACTGTCAGGACTAATAACAACGACAATTCTTTCATTATTTTGGGCTAATTTAGAGCTCAATAATTAAAATCTAAACAACACTTTTGAATGTGAGTGAAATCTATTGAATCCGATCCTTTTATATGAGTTTTGATTTTTCATGTGTTTGTGTTTATTGAGAACTCTATTAGTAAACTCAAAACATTTCCATGTATTAGCGATATATAATCAGCGAATAATGAATAAAAATGCCAAGTTCACTATAAATAAGACCCGGATTAATAACCCTAAATAAATTATTTCTTTGTATTGAATGCACTTCAGGTGTAATTCGCTGAAAATATGTCTTTGTTTTGATTATCTATTTTCTTAATACAGTATCAATGAATTGATTATATTATTGACAATTTTTAAGGATTTTCAATTTACAGGCATCATCACTATTACACTATTCGATAATTTAAAATAATATAAGCATAATTCCTAAAATTATAAAACACAAACATCAAGTTTTATCAATTTAGAAATAATTAAACTAATTATATAAATATACTAACATAATATAACAGTAATTTAAAAATACTATACTTTCAAAGGTTATGATTGCGCTGATGCTAGATGATGTGTACAGTATACATTTACCTATAATTATTGATAACTTATCAATGATAAGGTATTACATGTTTCGAGGTAACTTAATTGTTTGTAATAAACATTGATTATTAATTACGGTATAGATTTTAAACTTTTATAAGCAGAGATAGTAATTTATATTTCATTTATAATTGTGGATATAAAATTAAATTTTAATTTTTTTATCAATTTAAATATTCATTAAATACACAACTGTAAATATTCATTGTTATAATATAATTAAATTTATGTTTAAGAAATAAGTTTGCTAACTAAGACATAGTTTTGTATTTTAACTAATTTAACTTAAATATTATGCCAAACATTGATAAATGTTACAATAACCTATAACTAATTTATTGAAAATACAGTTACAAATAGTATAGTAAATATTACTAAGTTAGGTATTTATCAATTACAAAGAGCCAAAATATACATGCTTAATTTTATATCAGCCATAATGATATCTGTCTAATTCTAACAGATTATAAGCAGTCTTGTGTTTAAATAATCTGATTATAATTTATAAAAGCCATTAAAACGAAGTCATTATCAAATCGATAAAGTTATTATAAAACTAAATTAAATCTTTGTTTTATATATTCCATAATTTATTTTAATGATAGAAATTGCATTCAATTATATATTACATAAATAAAATATATTTAACATTTGTTTAAATTAAAATACATTAATAATATTTTAAATACATTGTTATGCATAATAACAACGTACTATTTAGAAATTAGCTTTTTAAATTGTATTATAAACACAAGAGTAATGTGATAAACATTATGAAAATCACTTAATAGTGACCCGGGGGTGGTTTAGGCCAATCGCATTTCAATTCCTCCTGAACCCATACTTCAGTCTTCTCAGCACAAGTCCTCTCATGGATATACCACTCGTCACCAATTTTCTCGCACTGATAGTATTTATTTGGGTTACCAGGGTATGGCATGTATCCATAATTACTGCACATAAAATCTTTATGACTTGTGGTTGATCCAGCTGACTGTGTGGTTGAAGGGGGAGGTGTTGGGGTAGTTGTTGTAGTTGTGGTGGTCGGTGCCGGTGTTGTCGTGGTTGTAGTTGTAGTGGTAGGTGGTGGTGGCGGAGGTGTATATTTGCACTCAAGCGACTTGATCTCATCGCCATTCAACATACGGTGCACTTTATTCATGAGGGGGTTCTTACCCTTTCCGCACCTGTTCTTGAAGTCGTCGTTCTCGAGGGCCCACACCATACCACCCGACAGTCCCATGGATTTCAAGAAAGCGATCTATAATTACAATACAATTGACGGTTAGTTTCTGTTTCATTGTCTCTTCAATATATTCATATACTTTGCACGAAATACTGTCCACATCTTCAAAACCAATGAATATCTCATCGTTATAAGCATACGGCGCTCTATAGTACGGGTCCGATAGGTTGTGCCATTTGGTGGGATCATGGAGTTCCAGTTGGCATAACTTTTAGGAAATATTAAGTAAATATTTTGGATTAAAATTATATTCAATTGTATACCTCATTATATCCTAACACTCCGGCCTCACCACCGATGAAACCCTCGGGTGACATACCCTTTGCGATGTCGTGGAGATTGTGCTTATCTTTACTCATGAGAGTCCAGGCCCTGCCATAGAAGGGCACTCCCATCACCATCTTCTCCTTCTTCAAACCCAATGANTCACCACCGATGAAACCCTCGGGTGACATACCCTTTGCGATGTCGTGGAGATTGTGCTTATCTTTACTCATGAGAGTCCAGGCCCTGCCATAGAAGGGCACTCCCATCACCATCTTCTCCTTCTTCAAACCCAATGACAAGTAATAATTGACAGTATAGTTGACGTTAAAGTATGGGTAATCGCCTTCTGTCTCATCGGGTCGGCTATAGAGTGGGGCGTTGTGTCCGAGAATGTCTTCCCAACCCCCGTGATAGTCGTATGTCATTATATTAGCCCAATCGAGCAGTTCATTCATTTTAGGTATGTCTCCATACGCCGCTTCTATTGTTTTCTTTCCCGGTGAGAGGGCTGCCGTCAGGACATATCCCTTCGGATTGAATGCCTCTCTCAGTTCAGCCAACAGTTTCATATAATTTCCTTTGTCTGCGACCTCATCGCCCCCTCTGTTTGACGGGTACTCCCAATCGAGATCCAGTCCATCGAATTGGTGTTCTTCGAGGAAAGCCAACACACTGTCGACGAATCGCTTTCTGTTCGCATCCTTAACCATATCCGAGTACTTCTCCGACCCCTCATACCATCCGCCCAATGATATCATTGTCGTTAGGTTTGGGTTTTTAGTCTTTAAATGAATGAACCTCTTGTAGGCCTCGAATCCCTGTCCATCTGAAATCAGATGGTATTACAAACCATTTAAATTAGATGTCAATCAATTATTACCCTTTTTGGTGTCGAGGTAGGGATCAAACTGTTCAATCTTATACGTGGATTCATTGATTTTGGCGAAACCATAGTTAACATGAGTACACAAATCGTATTCAATGTCCTCGATCTCAAACCTCTCCTTCTCGTGCCAATGGGCCCAACTCCCGAAATAACAGACCACGCGGTGAGGGTTTTTCGTGTAGTTGTTGTGGTCTTCATAATTGTAATGAAAATATTTACAAATATTGTTTGTCATTAACTCTCAAATCAAAGTGATATACCTCTGGAGGCTCGGGTCCCCACTTGAACGGGACTGGAGGTGATCCCCAACACTAATGTCAGCAGTAATAACAGCAACAGTTTACCCATTATTTTGGGCTAATTTAGAGCACAACTCTTATACTCTAAATGAAACTTTTAAGAAATGCTAAATGTATTGAATCCTAGCATTTATTTATATGAGTTTTAATTTTTCAAGAATTCGTACTTAATGTTAACATTTCATACCATTACCTCATTTTGCAAAATTCTTATTAATTTCAAAATTCTGTTTAAATATTATATCTGAAAGCGATTCTGAGAAGTAATTCAGGATTTTGATATTATAAGATGATTAGCTAGGACATTGTTTACTACTGTATCGTACCATTTTCAAATTATCAATTAAGATTTTCATTTCTAATCAGTTGTATATTTGTTCTCTACATTATTAACATTATTTTCTATATGAGCTTTAGATAATCATAGTAACGTTAGCTTTTTAAATATTTATTATATTTAAATAATAATTTGACTCAAAAGTCAATTATTCATACAATATTCATAGGTTTCTAATTAAAATAATATTTATGAAATATTCAAAAAAAATCTAACGTTACTATGATTGTCTAAAGCTCATATTATATAATACTTAACTTGACAAAATACAATTATATTTAGTAATACCCTTGTCCTATGATAATCTAAATGATTATAAGTACTAACGAATAAAGGGTTCCCAGAATCGCATCCATTTCACGACCCATTGAATGGCAATTGTTTCAATATTCCGGTGCTATATAAGCACTCAATTCATTTATTGAGGCACAGTATCAATTCATTCATTGGTATACAATCAAACTTATATAATATATATGCTAATTTTCACCTATATCAAATAGTAATGTTGAAGTTATTATAGGATTTATATTAGAAAACTAAAAGCCCTTATTATAGATGTCAAAACTAGTCGTATTTTGGGTCTTTGGGTAGCCATCTGTCAGGGTATGTAATACATACTATGTATTCATATATTTATTTGATAACTTAATATTAATATTTTAAATAATTCAGAATATTTATTTGTGATAACTATAGTATTTAGATTTATAAACAATTATTTATATAATATTATTTTATTAGAAAATAAGAAGTAAATGTAAAAACTTTTAAACATTTTGTCTTATAATTAAAAACTTTCACATTTACATATTACTTATTACTTATTTTGAATAATTTGAAAAGTTATTTAAATGTTTATTTAGGGATATGGTTAAACTAAATATTAAGTGATTTATGCTAATAAAATTTATATAATATTTTACTCTAAAAAGTTCATTGCTAACATAACTAATGTTATTAGTTATGGTATTGCGGTAATAATAACTGTAATCATGCTAATTTAAGCAATTAATTTCATGAAATAGATTTTCTCAGCTATTTTAAATAGCTTATTACTATTCAATCATGAACTATTACTACAAAAATAGAAATATATTGTTAATACTGTTTTTATAATTTATAGAAAAGCATCAAGGTAATGAACATAAAATGATTAATTGACTTTTGAGTCAAATTATTCATTGAATATAATAAATATAAAATAGCTAACTTTACTATGGTTGTCTAAAACTCATATAATTAATTTTATGTTTAAGAAATAAGTTTGCAAATTAAGTCTAGCTTTGTTTGTATTTTAGCTAATTTAACTTAAATATTATGCAAAACATTGATAAATGTTACAATAACTTATAACTAATTTATAGAAACTACAGTAAATTACGTATATTATGATTTTCGTTTTATCTTAGTTGATAATTCGTAAAGTAGCATTGTATCAATTACAAAGAACCAAAATATGATATAACATGCTTAATTTTATATCAGCCATAATGATATCCGTTTAATTTTAATAAATTATAAGCAGTCTTGTGTTTAAATGATCTGATTATAATTTATAAAAGTCATTAAAACGAAGTCATTATCAATCGATAAAGTTATTATAAAACTAAATTAAATCTTTGTTTTACATATTCCATAATTTATTTTAATGATAGAAATTGCATTCAATTATATATTACATAAATAAATTATATTTATCATTTGTTCAAATTAAAATACATTAATAATATTTTAAATACCTTGTTACGCATAATAACAAAGTACTATGTACAAATTAGCTTTTTAAATTGTATTACAAACACAAGAGTAATGTGATAAACATTATGAAAATCACTTAATAGTGACCCGGGGGTGGTTTAGGCCAATCGCATTTCAATTCCTCCTGAACCCATACCTCTGTCTTCTCAGCACAAGTCCTCTCATGGATATACCATTCATCACCAACTTTCTCGCACTGATAGTATTTATTGGGGTTACCAGGGTATGGCATATATCCATACTTATTGCACATAAAATCTTTATGACTTGTGGTTGATCCAGCTGACTGTGTGGTTGATGGGGGAGGTGTTGTGGTGGTCGGTGCCGGTGTTGTCGTGGTTGTAGCTGTAGTGGTAGTAGTGGTGGTGGTGGTAGTGGTAGGTGGTGTTCTATGAGTGGCATCGGGAGTTTCAGCACAGGTAGTGTTGGTGTTGGCGTTCACTTTGTGGACACGTATTATCTTAACTATAACTTGAAGATTGATTCAGATTTGAATGTATGTCCAAAGAGTGACACTGACTCGATGGGCACCGGTATGTAAGGACTGGTAGTTGTTGTGAAAAAAATTAAATGATATTTAATGAAAACTAGGTCACTTTGCCCCTCTCTCTCCCTCTCTCTCGATTTATGTACTGATTGAACTGCCCTTTCAAAACCACGTGACTTACACTTAAGGCTCTAATTGCGCTAGTTCATACTTACAAGTTAGTGGCCACTATCACGAGTGATTTATTAACAATAATGATCACTAACTAGTTATGTTCATTTTGAATCATAATCCCTTTTAGTAACCAGTGGTTACTAACCACTTTCAACTTCAAGAATTATTATGCAACTTATTCATGAGTTCTATCTAGTTATAATAATATTTACTAGATGATAAGTTATCATTGATAACAAACTTACTAATTCTTGCTGATAATTAACCATCACCTTACTGGACGGACCATTAAAGTGATTATTACAATCAATTAAATCATATTTGAAAATATATTTCATAATTTATTTTGATGATAACATTGCATTCAATTATACACGTATAAAATTATATATTACATTTTGTTTAATAAAACAATACATTGATAATATTTAGTAAGAATAAATATTATGTGATTTAATTACAAAAAATTAATTTTTAAAAATTATTCATTGCATTCATAACAGATTGGATACAAATGCAAGAATAATGTAATACTGACACCACTTAGTCATCCATTGGTGGTGTATCAGGGCCATCGCACATTCTGTCCCTTTGCACCCATGTGGTGTGAATGGGACATTCGTGCAAATGGAAGTACCATCCGGTGCCTGGGATCCATTCGCACTGGAAGTACTTATGGGGGTCACTGGGGTGTGGAATATAGCCGTCCCGAGAGCACCACCAATCGATAGGGGTGGAGTGGGGTGAAGTGGTAGTAGTAGTGGTGGTGGTGGTGGTAGTGGTAGTAGGTTGTGGTGCGAATTTGCACTCAAACGACTTGATCTCATCGCCATTCAACATACGGTGCACTTTGTTCATGAGGGGTGACTTCCCGCCCCCGCATTTGTTCAGAAAGTCGTCGTTCTCGAGGGCCCACACCATACCACCCGACAGTCCCATGGATTTCAAGTATGCGATCTATAATTACAATACAATTTAGGGTTAGTTTCTGTTTCATTGTCTCATATATTAATGAATGCATACTTTGCACGAAATACTCTCCACGTCTTCGTAACCAATGAATATCTCGTCGTTATAAGCATACGGCGCCCGATAGGATGTGTCATAAGTGTTATGCCATTTGGTGGGATCCTGGAGTTCTTCCTGACATAACTATTGGATACAAATTATATGATTATATGATTATCAAAGTTTTCTATTCATATTACGGTATATTATACAAATCCTATTTGAATGCATACCTCATTATATCCCAACACTCCGGCCACACCCTTTGCAATGTCGTGAAGATTATGCTTATCTTTATCCAACAAACTCCAGGCGCGACCATAGAAGGGCACTCCCATCACCATCTTCTCCTTCTTCAAACCCAATGACAAGTAATAACTGACAGTATAGTTGACGTTAAAGTATCGGTAATCGCCTTCTGTCTCATCGGGTCGGCTATAGAGTGGGGCGTTGTGTCCGAGTATGTCTTCCCAACCCCCGTGATAGTCGTATGTCATTATGTTTCCCCAATCAAGGAGTTCGTTCATTAGGGGTACGTCTCTATAGGCGGCGTCAATCTTTTGCTTTTTGGGTGAGAGGGCAGCCGTCAGGAGATACCCGTGCGGGTCGAAGGCTTCTCTCAATTCCTTCAGCAGTTTCAGAAAATAGGGTTTATCTGCGACCTCATCACCACCTCTGTTAGCCGGGTACTCCCAATCGAGATCCAGTCCATCGAAGTCATACTTCTTGAGGAAATCCAATACACTTTTCACGAATCGGGCTCTGTTTGCGTCCTTAACCATATCCGAGTACTTTTCTGACCCCTCATGCAATCCCCCGACTGATATCATTGTCGTTAAGTGAGGGTTCTTTGTCCTCAAATCCACGAACCTCTTGTACCCTTCTATACAGCGAATCAATAAGTTTTTAAAATCATATTTCAATTTAAAATCAAACAATTATTACCGAAATGGATGTCCAGCCAGTCATCGAAGACCTGTATCTCATACGTGGATTCATTGATTTTGGCGAAACCATAGTTAATATGAGTACACAAATCGTATTCAATGTTCTCGATATCGAAGGGTTGGACTTTGCGATAATGGGCCCAACTTCCGAAATAACAGACCACTCGGTGAGGGTTTTTCGTGTAGTCGTTATGATCTGCATATTCACAGAAAGATTGTTTAAAATGATTTTTGGCACAACTCCTAATTCAAAGTGATATACCTCTGGAGGCTCGGGTTCCCACCTGAACGGGACTGGAGGTGATCCCCAACACTAAAGTTAGGAGTAATAACAGCGAAAGTTTTGCCATTATTTTGGGCTAATTTAGAGCACAACTCTTATACTCTAAACCAAACCTTTAAGAAATGCTAAATGTATTGAATCCTAGCATTTATTTATATGAGTTTTAATGAGTTCGTACTCAATGTGTGAATATACTTAACATTTCATAACATTACGTTATTTTGAAAAATTCATATTAATTTCAAAATTCTGTTTAATTAACTTATCTGAAAACGATTCTGAGAACTAATTCAGGATTTTGATATTATAAGATGATTAGTTATGACATTATGTACCATTTTCAAATTATCAATTAAGATTTTCATTTCTAATCAGTTGTATATTTGTTCTTTACAATATTAATAGTATTTTGTATACTGTAAGTTATTATATAAACTTAACTTGGCAACCAAACTTAAGATGATTAGTTGGGACATTGTGTACTGCTGCACCGGACCATTTTTAAATTATCAATTAAGATTTTCATTTCTAATCAGTTGTATATTTGTTCTTTGTAAATAATGATAGATTAACAGTCATTTCGATTATCATTATTTTGTATAAACCTATCACAAATATAAAAATATTTTGCCAAGTTAAGTTTATATAATAACTTACAATATAAAAAATACTATTAATATTGTAAAGAACAAATATACAACTGATTAGAAATGAAAATCTTAATAAGTGATAATTTGAAAATGGTCCGGTACAGCAGTACACAATGTCCCAACTAATAATAGTATTTTGTATACTGTAAGTTATTATATAAACTTAACTTGGCAAAATATTTTTATATTTGTGATAGGTTTATACAAAATCATGATAATCGAAATGACTGTTAATCTATCATGAATCTTTTTAAGTGCATGATTACTATGACTCGATATTGTATCTTCGATTAACAGCCATTGGATTGTCTTTATTTGGTACAACTGTCCCATTTTGTAATACCTGTCCGATGATAATCTAAATGATTATAAGTACTAACGAATAAAGGGTTCCCAGAATCGCATCCATTTCATGACCCATTGAAGGGCACAATTGTTTCAATATTCCGGTGCTATATAAACACTCAATTCATTTATTGAGGCACAGTATGAATTGGTTCATTGGTATACAATCAAACCTATATAATATATAGCAGCGAGTTCCTTGTATTACAAATTATTACAACTAGTGATGTATAGACTAAGGTAAGCTAAGGTAAGTAAATGAGTTTATTCAACGCTAGTTATTTATACCTTTATAAGTTTTAGTCATAAACATTACAAATATA